GCAGGGTCCCGCTCAGCAGGGGCAGTGTCCCGGCCAGCAGGTGGGCAGGGTCCCGGCCAGCAGGGGCAGGCCCAGCCAGCTGGTGGGCAGGGTCCCGGCCAGGTGGGCAGGGTCCCGGCCAGGTGGGCAGGGTCCTGGCTTGCTGTCCCCAGGTCTGGTGCCGGGGCCCACCACCACCAGGGCAGTACCAGCATGAGGAGGACTGTGTCTGGGTAGCTGGCCTTCACAGCCATCTGTTTCCCCGCCTGGAACTCCTTGCCCTGGGGCTTAGTTCTCGGCACCCCCCACTGCCTGGGGCCTGGCCCCTTGCCTGTGTTCCGTAGCAGGTGCTTGGCTGAGGGGTGCTATGGCCCGTGACAGCAGCCCCCTCTTGGCTGGGAGCCCCTGGACCCCCCCAGCCTGCCCACAGTGCCTCCCTCCTGTGCCCGCCCACGCCCCCAACCGTGCACACACCCCGCGCTCCCCAACACCTGTGGCCTCCGAGCTCCTCCCTCACCCACCTGCCCCGCCTGCCTGCCTCTTGGCCTCATCTCCAACACCCCCTCCAGCCCCCAGCCCCACCACTGGACGCCCGTGGATCCCTCCTGCCGTGCTCCTGTCGGGGACCCGGTCGTGGAGGGCTCCCCTGGTGTTTGGGCCCCTTGGAACTGGCCCAGAGGAGACAGGGCTGGGGTCCCCCCCACAAATGCCCAGTTTTCTCTCACAAAGCCCGCCTTGCTCAGAGCCCAGCTCTGAGGAGGGGACGAGGGGACACTCTCAGGGAGGCAGCCTGCAGCTGCCTCTTCTCCCAGGGGCTCTGGCCCCTGGGTTGCATTGGATGTTTGTGCTGGTGCTTTGTTTTCGGCCAGGCGGGCCTGCCAGGGTCTGCTGTGGACATGGGCACGGTGGTCACCCGGGGGCATCATCAGGAACCGTGGCAGATGTGGCTGGGAGGGCTGCCTGGCTCTGGGGACCCGCCACTGAAAGGGGTCGGGCCGTGCTGAGGCCGGGACCCGGGATGCCTGCCACGCGGTGTGGGCGGGGAGGTCCGGCCCCGTGGCCTGCCAGGGCCGTGCTGCTCGTGGCGGAGCATCTCGCGGCTTCCACCGTGGCGAGTGTCTGGAGGGGGCAGGAGGAAGGCAGGCCTTGCTTTTCTGAGCTCTTTCCTAATCCCGCTTCGGAAGAACTTGGCGGTTTATGGGGAACCTGGAGGGTCTGTTTCCAAAGCAGGGAAAGCAAAGGTCAAAACATTTAGAACCCAGTTTTTAAAAGCCTAGAAAGTTATGTGGCTCTTGAGAGATGTTTCAAGGGCCGCCTGAGAATCCGACTACCCTGCCGAGAAGGAGGAGGAGGCAGGCGTGCAGCTGAGGTGACCCCAGAGCCCAGAACCGTGAGAATAGCGTCCAGGACCCAGCCAGCGTCTGGAATGCGCTTGGAAATAACTCTGACCACAAAAAGGCCCCACAAGGAAGATGGTATAGTGTGAGCAGAAGACGGAAGGCGGGCAGGACTTCCAGGCTGCGGTCCCAGGTTGGAGTGGTGAGGGGGGCCAGTGGTCCCCAGGAGCCCCCCCGGGCAGGGCTGCCCAGAATGGGCACCTGTGGGGTGCGGAGACAGGCTCCCACCACCACGTGGCTGGGGAGGCTCCCCAACAGCTTCCTCGTGGGGGCCCGGTTTGCTTAGCCAGCTCACTCCTGGCCCCGGGGGGAAGCCAGCGCAAGTCTGTGTCCTGCCAGCCAGTTTCTCCATCGCAGTGGCCGTGAAGCCCCTGGAGCAGGGTCTGCGGGCGGGCGGACAGGGTCTGTCCTCAGAGTAGCAGGGAGACAGCCAAGTCCCGCAATGCTCTTGGAGAGATGCAGACCCTCTGCTGGCTCCAGGGCGGTGGGCTCGCATCTTTGGCGCTGCTTTGGGCGCTGCATTCCCAGGAGGGGACAAGGAGGAGGGCAGGGGTGTAGCCCCCCAACTCCAAGCCGATGTTAGCCGTCTGTCCTGTGGCACATGGACCCCTGGGTCCGACAGACGTTCTCAGAACATCTTCCTGCGGGGTCAGGGGAAGGCACGATCAAGAGGAGGGAGCCCCGGGGCGCCTGGGTGGCTCAGATGGTTGGGCGTCTGCCTTCGGCTCAGGTCGTGATCCCAGGATCCTGGGATCGAGTCCCACATCGGGCTCCCCGCTCGGCAGGGAGCCTGCTTCTCCCTCTGCTTCTCTCTCTCTCTCTGTCTCTCATGAATAAATAAATAAAATCTTAAAAAAAAAAAAAAAAAGGAGGGAGCCCCGTCAATACCGTGGTGGAGGCCACAGTCCAGGCAGAGACACCCACACAGAGGCCGTGGCCACCAGGGGACGGCGGTGCGGAGTCCAGAGGGTGTTGTCAGGGGTCAGAGCCAAGGAAGGGTCTTGAGCGGGAAGGGGAAAGACGGGCTTGACCCAGAGCTGAAGCAGGATGTGCACAGGCTCAGCAGGTCTGACCGGAAGCCAGGTCACCCCGGGGCCTGTGGGAGTGGCCAGGGGCTCCTGACGGACAGCAGGGCGCTCAGCTGGGTGCAGGCCAGGGCCGAGCTGCTGCAGCTCGGGAGGGGGCTGGTCTGCCAGGGCCCCCCCCGCCCCGCCGACTCCATGCGGACGCCATAGTGCGCAGGTGGTCCCAGGGACCTGCGACGGAGTGCCGTGCATGAGCGCTGACAGCCCCGGGGCTCCAGGTGGGCAGTGAGGGGTGGGTCTCTGCAGGCTGGGAAAGCCGTCCCCGGCCCTGGACCCTGGCTCAGCGACCTCAGTGGCAAGTGCTGGGGGCTTCGCCTGTCCTCTGCCTGCCCTGACCTTAGAGGAGGGGCCCCGGCGGAGTAGGTCCCCCCGACGAGCTTGCCGTGGGGGTCAGCATGACTGCAGTATGAGCCCCTGACTGCAGTAACGGGGGCTGGCGCCACCGGGACAGGGATGAGGATCACAGGGGATGTTCCAGGCAGATGAGGGCTTTGTGGGAGTCACAAGAACAAGGAAGGTTTTTTTTGTTTTTTTTTAAAGATTTTATTTATTTATTTGACAGAGAGATAGAGAACACAAGTAGGCAGAGGGAGAGGGAGAAGCAGACTCCCCGCAGAATGGGGAGCCTGATGTGGGACTCGATCCCAGGACTCTGGGATCATGACCTGAGCCGAAGGCAGCCGCTTAACCAACTGAGCCACCCAGGTGCCCAGAACAAGGAAGGTTTTGAGGGTGAATTAGGCCAGGACACGGGGACAGGAGACCCCCAGGTCACAAGGGCAGGAGACTCAGGACACGGGAGGGGGCTGTGGTTCCAGCCCCTGGTGGTGCTGTCAAGGGGTTGTGTCCCACAGCTTTGGGCCTGGCTCCTTCTGACCCCCCCAGAGCTCAGGAGCCGTCATCATTAGGGTTCCAAGGTCCTGGCATGTGCAGGGAGGAAAGTCAGGTTTATGCCGTGGGAGGAGGCTCTCCAGGTGTGGCCAGAGCTACTTGAGGAACAGGTTTGGTCCCTTCCCCCCACTCCGAGTTTGCTATTAGGGAGACAAAGCCCACACCTCCAGCTGACCCTCAGTCACCTTGCAGGGTCCAGCCGTGGCAGGAGGGATCCTGAAGCAGTCTGTCTTCCCGTCTCGCCCCCACCGAGAGGGGCGGCGAGTGCAGTCCTGGGCAGGGGGCTCCTGGCGGCCTGTGGCAGGCCATGCTGCAGGGGTGGCTGGGACCTCAAGGAGCCTGTGCCTGGCTCTGGGGGCAGTTGGAAACCGTGCACCCCACGGGCCATCTGGGGGAGGCAGGCTCGGGCCCCAGGGTGTTGTGTGTGCAGAAGCTGGGGGTCATCGGGGTCTGGGGCGTGGGCGGTGTTGCTCACACACAGGTGTCCGAGGAGCCTGCGGGCAGCCCTGACCTCTCCCTCCAGCCAGTCGTGCCCGGAAGGCCCTAGATGTCTGTCTCCCTGGCTCAGGGCTCGGGGCCCGGGCAGGAGAGCTACCAGGACCGCTGGGCTGCTCTGGAGCTGGGCAGCCAGTGTGGACGCTTGGGGCCGGTAAAACGGAAGCCCTCCTGCTCTAGCACCTGAGGGACCGGCTGCAGAACTGGCCCTGCCCCAGAACAGAGCGGGGCCTGGGCTGGGGTGCCACCCTCCTCCGCAGTGCCCTGGCCCCCTCTCAGAGGACACCTGGCACAGGGTCGGGCTCGGTTAGGCATGAGCCTGGGGAGGGTGTCCCGGGAAGAGAGGCGTGTCCTCTGAGTGTGGCTTCCGTGGGCCTGGTCAGAGGAGAAAGCGGGGTGTGGGGTGCAGGGGGTGGCCCTGCCTTGTGCTGGCCAGTGGGGGGGCCCCCTCCTAGCCGGCATCTCCTCTCCTGTATGGCAGGCCCCATCTTGATTCTCTGCTTCCCTGCGACCCCAGTGCCACACAGCACCCCACTCCTGCACACCCCCTGCCCCTCGAGGCCACCCTCACTAACACACCTGCTGTTTGCCACAGTCACTGCATCCAGCAGATCCTGGAGGCGGTTCTCCACTGCCACCAAATGGGGGTCGTCCACAGGGACCTCAAGGTGAGTCCCACACCCTGCTCTGTGTCAGCTGTCTGCGCCTGCATGTCTTGCAAAAGGAGGCCCTGGAGGGGCAGGGGGAGTGCCAGGAGATCCTGTGTGCACGCGAGTGTGCACGAGCACCTGTGTGCACACGAGCACCTGTGAGTGTGCACGAGCACGTGTGTAGGGCTGTGTGTGAGCACACGTGTGGACGAGCACGTGTGTGTGTGCACGAGCACGTGTGTAGGGCTGTGCGTGAGCACGCATGTGGACGAGCACCTGTGTGTGTGTGTGCACGAGTACGTGTGTGGACGAGCATGTGTGTGAATGAGCACCTGTGTGTGTGCATGAGCACGTGTGTGTGCACGAGCATGTTTGTGAGCACCCATGAGTGTGCACGAGCACGTGTGTGTGAGCACCTTTGTGCACGAGTATCTGTGTGTGAATGAGCATGTGTGTGTACACGAGCACGTGTGTGCACGAGCACGTGCGTGCGTGCACGAGCACGTCTGTGTGGATAAGCATGTGTGCACGAGCGTAGATGAGCACATGCGTGTGAGTGTGCACATGTGTGAGCACCCATAAGTGTGCACGAGCACGTGTGTGTGGATGAGCACCTGTGAGTGTGCATGAGCACGTGTGTAGGGCTGTGCGAGAGCACGCATGTGGATGAGCACGTGTGTGAGTGTACATGAGCACGTGTGTGTGGATGAGCACCTGGGAGTGTGCACGAGCACGTGTGTGAGTGAGCACTGTGTGAGTGTGCACGAGCACGTGTGTAGGGCTGTGCATGAGCACACGTGTGGACGAGCACGTGTGTGTGTGCACGAGCACGTGTGTAGGGCTGTGCATGAGCACGTGTGTGGATGAGCACCTGTGTGTGTGTGCACGAGTACGTGTGTGGACGAGCATGGGTGTGAATGAGCACCTGTGTGTGCACGAGCACGTGTGAGTGTGCACGAGCACATGTGTGTGGATAAGCACTGTGTGTGCACGAGCACGTGTTTGTGAGCACCCATGAGTGCACGAGCACGTGTGTGTATGAGCACCTTTGTGCACGAGCACGCGTGTGTGTACACGAGCACGTGTGTGCACGAGTATGTGTGTGTGCACGAGCACTGTGTGGATAAGCACGTGTGTGGATGAGCACATGCGTGTGAGTGTGCACGAGCATGTGAGCACCCATGAGTGTGCACGAGCATGTGTGTGTGGATGAGCACCTGTGAGTGTGCATGAGCACGTGTGTAGGGCTGTGTGTGAGCACGTGTGTGGACGAGCACCTGTGTGTGTGTGTGCACGAGCACAAGTGTGGATAAGCACGTGTGTGTGAACGAGCACGTGTTTGTGAACATCCATGAGTGTGCACGAGCACGTGTGTGTGAGCACCTTTGTGCACGAGTACGTGTGTGTGAGCACGTGTGTGTACACGAGCACGTGTGTGTGGATAAGCACGTGTGTGCACGAGCAAGATGTAGATGAGCACATGCGTGTGAGTGTGCACGAGCGTGTGTGAGCACCATGAGTGTGCACGAGCACGTGTGTGGATGAGCACCTGTGAGTGTGCATGAGCACGTGTGTAGGGCTGTGCGTGAGCACGCGTGTGGATGAGCACGTGTGTGTGAGTGTGCACGAGCATGTGTGTGTGTGGATGAGCACTTGTGTGTATGAGTACGTGTGAGTGTGCACGAGCACATGTGTGGATAAGCACGGGTGTGTGCACGAGCACGTGTGTGAGCACCTGTGAGTGTGCACGAGTACGTGTGTGTGAGCACCTGTGAGTGTGCACGAGTACGTGTGAATGAGCACCTGTGTGTGTGCACGAGCACATGTGTGGATAAGCACGTGTGTGCACGAGCACGTGTGTGGATGAGCACATGCGTGTGAGTGTGCACGAGCATGTGTTTGTGAGCACCCATGAGTGTGCACGAGCACCTGTGAGTGTGCACGAGCACGTGTGTAGGGCTGTGCATGAGCACACGTGTGGACGAGCACATGTGAGTGTGCACGAGCACGTGTGTGTGGATGAGCACCTGTGTGCACGAGCACGTGTGTGTGAATGAGCACCTGTGTGTGTGCACGAGTACGTGTGTGTGCACGAGCACGTGTTTGTGAGCACCCATGAGTGTGCACGAGCACGTGTGTGGATGAGCACCTGTGAGTGTGCACGAGCACGTGTGTGTGAGTGTGCACAAATACGTGTGTGTGAATGAGCACCTGTGTGTGCGCACGAGTACGTGTGGACGAGCACGTGTGTGAATGAGCACCTGTGTGTGCGCACCTGTGAGTGTGCACGACTACGTGTGTGCATGAGCACGTGAGTGTGCACGAGCACGTGTGTGGATAAGCACGTGTGTGTGCACGAGCACACGTGTGTATGAGCACCTTTGAGTGTGCACGAGTACGTGTGTGT